GTGGCATGAGCAGCACTTGGCGCGAACAAACTCAAGTCGCAAATAGCGCGCGACCAGTCGCACAGTCCCCACTGCCCGCAAGTTTAACCAAGTGGGCCCAAATTGAATTTCAAGTTGGAGCCGGGTTCACTACGCCTGCTAAACCAAGGCTGGTTGCCGATTGATCGAAATTATTGTCTGCGCATGCCAGTGGCTGTACGATCTTTCACGATAAAATTCCCGTCGCAGGTGCAATTCGATTTCGTTGCCCAAGACAAGCAAAAAAATCCGGGTTGCTGCCCGACGCGAAATAAAACATTCGCTCAAGGGTCGTTTCTAGTTGGGCCCAACTAGAAAGAGGGTCACTATTTTAACTTCTCGCTTTAAGAAGCCACATGAGCCCCCACATGACACGCGGCGAAGTCGCTGGTAACCTGGCCCAAGGGCCAATACGCCAAGGCACCCATCGTGAACAGAAAGAGTAAAACGGCCTACGCCACCCCACCTAAAACCGTACGTGCTACTCGATAATCCATTTTGCCCGTAGTGAACCGCACTTATTCGTCGTAGCCCATATTTGCGAGTCGCGGATTTGGAGCATAGAGCATACCCTCTGTACATACTACAGTATGGGGGATTATTCCGACGATTGTTACGCTAGGAAAGCGGCTTGTGATCGTCCTGCTAACCTAGAGCTAGATTCACACGGAGAGAGAGTCGAGCAAGGGTGGAGGGAATTCCCTGGTACAAGTGGGGTGGACCTTGGTGCTCGCGTTAACATGATTGCGCCCACATAATTTTGGTTTAGTACTCTTGTTCCACGATTCAAGCACACGAATTTTTTTCGCGCTGCGTGCATGTATCCTCCGGCCAAAACGCCGGGCAAAAAGGGCTTGTCCACTTCCGGGGCGGGAGCAGCCGAACGCTAGTCATTTATTTCGGGCAGCCTGGGTGCCTCCGTTGCGGTGTAACGTGAGGTAACCAGCGCGAGAAACTTCTAACCCGCATGAAACAGGTCATGTTACCGGCGCTTCATGTCGAGCGAAATCTGGGCCCTCCTGTGCAGGCGAGGTAGGCGACGGGAGCACGGGGCAGTCATTTTTGCAGTTGGGCGAAAGCGTAGATGGGTGGGGTTACAGGGTGTGGCTTCGTGGTTCTTCAGATTGATGTGGCTGAACTCATACAGTACCCGCGCGTTTGAAGTCCGTGGAACACCCTGGTGAACTGCGCTGGCAAACGCTGACGTGTCCAAAGGTTAATTCATTTGAACACTAGCTTCTGTTGCAACCAGAAACCTCCATGTTTACGTGGCGGATCAAAAGCTCGCTGGCTGACGAGAAGCCTTCTACTGACTTCGTTAGGCTATGTCTCTTTGCCAACGTCGTCGTTAGGACGCATCCCATTGGTTTGTGCAGAATCTGGGCGCTATCTTGTACAGTTCACTCTTTTGGGTCGTTTCATGTTGAACAGTGATTGTGCGTATACACTACGGGATAAGAGCAGGGTGTATACATCAATGGGTCCTTAGCCGTGATTGTGTGAGTAGCTCGGATGTCTGTAAGAGAGATCATGTGGACGTGAGGTGGCAGTTGGAAACAGGGCTCTCGGTTCAAGGGTAAACATCCGGAATGTCAGGCACATTCCGGATGTTTTCACTTGGAATCCGGATTTTGAGGGTTTCGGTCTGGAAATTGATCTTTAATGATTCCGGACGATTTTGGGAGTCCACCTGAGCCATCCGTGTTCCGCGAAAATTTCTCCTGGCCATCCGAGTAGTCTGGAAAATCACCCGTGCCGGAATTGGAGCAGTCGACACCCCCCCCCCCCCCCCTCCCCCCTCCCCCACCCCCCCCCCCCCCCCCGCCCCGGCCCCATCTTTCACGCCCTTGACCGAATTCTCACGCTTCAGTGCCACGCAACGCAACGCAACGCCACGTAATCTGATGAGCGACTCGTGGAAGGCGCAAAGTTCAAGGCAGTCAGACCAATCACAGACTGCGAATAACAAGCTGCACAACTACATGACAGAATGTGGCGCGCACTCTCATGCTTTGCCTTCTCAAACTCCGCTGCTCCTGCCACGAATCTGACGCGCAAAAGCACACTTGGCGAATTCTGTCATTCATCCTTCCCTCCATCCCTCCCTGCTGCGGTTTGTCGCAACGCAACGCAATTCTAGTATGTCGCATAACAGACACACACACTTTGGCGAATTCTGCTCAGTCATGTTCATGACAAGCCATAACGGTAATTTGAAGCAGCGCGATGCACCGTTGCACTTGATCGTGATTTGACCATATTTCGCCACGATGCCAGCCAACTTTGCGTTGCTCCCTGCTCAAACATGGGAGCGCGCATTGCCCGCATCGCTCTTTCAACACCCTTTCTCGCACGGTGCCTCAACGCGAGAAGTGGTTTGTTAGGCTATGTGCACTCTAACCTAGGCATGGGCAAGGTGGCTTTCAGCTTGAAAAGGCACAGCAAAGTCTCAAGTTAGCTAACTGTAGAGAGAAGGCAGCCTCTCATGGCTGACAATACCACCCCTGCAGCAGACCCCGTCGTTATCCCCTTGCAGTATGTCGCTAATGACCCCAAGGACATAGGCAGTGAAGAGCCCTCAGCTCAGCCAACAGTCGAGGTTATGTCTGATGATGATGAAGCAACTGAACCTCTCAACCTCACGGAGGGCGTTCTTGAGCCAGAATCTGCTAGTGAGGATGAAGCCGCTGTTTCCCAGGCTGGTACTAGAAGAAGGTCTCGTCAGACCATCCTTCCATTCGCACCTCCTCCTGAGCCTAGGCGCCGCCGCACCACTGTCCCTGAGCACACGGAGGACGATGCTCCCGTTGATAACGAGGGCGACCCCATTCCTGCAGCAGAGCGACTCATTGCCCGCCGTTACCGCCGTGAATGGCGGGACCTCTTTGAGTGGCTGCGCCTCGAGTACCACAAACCTTCGCACCAGTATGGCTTGAAATGCACCATTTGCTTGGAGCATGGTGACGACGGGGGGCACACACGGTATGGCAGGAATGGTCTCGGCGCTCGGGACTTCTAGAAGACTAGCATCCGCTCCCACCAGCGTTCACGTGGTCATCAGTTGGTTGTTTCACGGAAGAACACGGCAGATGGCACGGAGCGAAATCAGAGGCGCATGACTCAGTACGCGGACTCCGACGCTGTGAAACGACACATTGTTCACTGCATCCATGCCGCTTACTTTGTGTGCCGCAATGATGCACGGATCCTGCTGTATCCAACTCTTGTCCGCTTCTTGGTGGACGAGGGCATTCCTGATATGGCTGGCTCAGAATCCTACGGCCGCTATTTTTCCCAGTGAGTTGCTACGTTTTGCTGCACCCTTGTGTTGTTTTGCTGCTGTAATGAGTGAAGCATGTCCTGGTTTGTTGTGCCATTTTTTTATCGTAAACTTAACACGCAGGTTTACACCTCTTGCGTTTGATGTGTACATGGCAGGTATGCCATGAATGAGTTCACTACAGCGTTGGCACAGCATCTTCAGGATAAGCAATTGCGCTACATCAGGGAGAGCCCATGGTATGGGCTTTCTCTTGATGAGTCCACGGACCGTGCGCACGGTAAACACATGATTGTTTACATGTCGTATGAGAGGGACCGACAGGTTGTCACACAGTTTCTCACTTTGCTGTCAGTGGAGAGGGCAGATGCCGAGTCCCTCCTCACGGCTCTCACATCCTTCTTGGAGTCATGCAGCATCCCGCTAGACAAGCTGGTCGGGATCTCCACCGACGGGGCTTCGGTGATGACCGGACAGCAGGCGGGGCTGGTGGCACGCTTGCGACAGACCTGCCCATGGCTTGTTTCAATACATTGCATCGCCCACAGGTGACCAAAAGCTAATACTATACTTGCTGGAAATAGGAGCACTTGATAGCCTTTCCACTTACAACCTATATATATTTGAAAGTCATTGGAAGCCTCATTTAATGTCTCATTACATTGTTTTCTACACTTCACAGGGAGGCACTAGCTGCCAAGGATGCAGCATCCCGGATGCCTGACTTCAACCCGATCGACACACAAGTTAGGAGCACTGCTGAAATTCTGGGAAGGTCTCATGTAATGCGCCAGAATTTCCTCCGCTTGCAGCAGGAGATTCTCCGCACCCAGCTTGAGGTTCAGAATTTCCTCCTCGTTTCCTCCTACCACAGCGCCACTACAGACACTGCACATGGACGTGCGGAGCCCTGGGTCCATGGTCTTAGCAAGGAGCGCTTCCTTCTAGTCGTCGTTGACGACTTCTCTCGCTTCGCCACAGTGTTCCTGCTGGAGCGTAAAACCAACATGCCTAACACTCTCATCCCATGGTTGCTCGCCGCTCGCACCCCAGCGATGCCAGCCCGTGGTCTGCCTACACTCTGACCGTAGTGGTGAGTAATCCTTCTCCCATCTTGGAGTGTTCTGTGCTACTGTTGTGTGATGTCATCATATGCTATCACATTCTGTCTGCCTCCCATCCCATGTTTTCAACTTGCATGTGTGGTTTGAATGTGCAAGCATTTGTGTGGTGTGTGTTCTGGAGTTTGGGAATGTGTTATGTGTTATTTTGTTTGAGCAGGTATTTGTGATGATAGATCTTGAGAAGATCTTTCCGACGCAACAAGAATCTCTTCAATTGGAGCAACAACGCGAAAGCTATGAAGATTCAAAGTTCATGAGCTTGCGTTACAATTGCGGCGGTTACAAAGTGAAGTTGTGGGGTGACTCTATATGGAGTTGGGACCTTTGGGGTTTGGGAAATTTGTCACTCTACTGTAACAGCTGCAAATTGGTTGGGAACAACCAAGCTAGGTTGGCAAGGGTGGCCAACTTGGATGGATTGGTTGGGAAGGGACAAATGTCAAAGTTGGGGTTCCTATAGGGAGGGAATCTTTGTGCTTATGGGGTTTCCTTGGTTGGGGACTCTCTTGGGACCTTCCCTCTCATCCCTCTCTTCCTATCCCAACCTTTCTCTTGCTCCTTCTAATTCCTTGTGAGATTCTTGAACTTTGATTGAACTCTTGAGATTGAGTTAAGTTCTCCTCCTACAGCTTACCCCCTAGTGCGTCGAAAGCCATAGCGTCGCGAATACTTCATCAATCAACGTGATTCAAATTGGGAACGGTAGCTGAGATCAAGAGCTACAACATATCCAAGTTTCGCGACATTCCAACGGCTAGGTTTTTGTCGACGTCGTTTCTTGTGAAGACGACTTTTCTGTCCAGAATTTCGGATTTATATTTTGAGTAATTCTAGCTCCTAAGTTCACCTAGACTCTGTCCTTAATCCTAACAAGTGGTATCAGAGCGATATTAAGGACATTGAGAGGAGTCTACAGAAGTGTGAAGACCCTTCTAGACCCACCATGGCCTGTGGGTGTGCCTAAGTGGTGTTCTAAAGGTTGGATGTGTCTTCCGCTAAGGGGAAACTCTGCCGAAATTTCGTGGACGCCGACACTTGTGAAAATATCGAGGGAGCTGAGTGTGGACAGCAAAGGGGAGCTGAAATTCGTCATTTCTCAAGGAGAAGATGAATGAGAGAGGAGGAGATGCTAATGGAAGAGGAGCTGTAGCTGAGAAGACAAGTGAGCCGCCGCCATCAAAAGTTGAAGCTTTGGATGGCTCCAACTATGAGGAATGGAGCGGACGGATGAGGAGTGCCTTCAAACGCTACAAGCTCCTGAAGATTGCTGTTGGGGAAGAGAAGATGCCGGAAGAAGGCGAAGCACGTGAACGGTGGATTGAGAAAAGCGCGGTGCTTTTCGACCTCATTCTTCAATCGGTCAACAAGGAGATGTTCGAGCACATCAAGGATCTTGTGGAAGCGGATGATTCGGGTCCAAGGGCGTGGAAACTACTACGTGATGTGGTTCAGCCCAACACTCTCCTGATGGTGATCGTGCTCGAGAAGGAACTTGCTGCCATCTCCATGCGACCAGGGGACGATGTGAAGCCGGTCCTTGACAAGATCAAGGACACCTATGCAAGGATGGCAGCAGCGGGCAGCAGTGTATCTCAGCTGCAGCAGTGCACCAAGATCATCTCGGTGTTGGACAACTCTTGGGACAACCTCATCCCCACCCTCAACTCTCAGCAAGATCAATGGACACCTGAGTGGCTAAGGCAGCAGATTCTGCAGGAGGACTTCCGCAGACGCCATGTGGGAGGCGGTGCTGCCACTAAGACTGCTGAGGGGTATGGAGCTGCAGGGCGCAGCAGAGGAAGAGGGGGTTGGAAAGGCCGAGGCCGTGGGAGAAGCTTTGGCAGAGGTAGAGGCCGAGGTGACTATAATGAGGGGCATGGGAGCTCCAGTGGCAGGGGAGTACCAGAATGGAGGGCACCTGCTGGTACTGCAAGAAGGTCGGGCATCCTTGGTTCAAGTGCTTCAGCAGGCCGGAGGGATGGTCACCTCCAGGCATGAAGCCGCCAAGTGGTGAACGCGCACAAGGTGGCGCTGTGCAAGGCTCAGGTGCACAAGGTGAAGGTGCACAAGGTAACGCCTATCCTGGGATGTATCTCATGGTTGAGGATGTGCATGGGCATGAGGGTGATGTGGGATCTGTGGGAAAGGTTGTGATGCACCCTCTCACGCACTGGGTGATTGATTCGGGTTGCACCAGTCACATGACTCCACGGGCAGATTTGCTTGATGAGGTAAAACCCCCTGGGAAGATCAAGTATGTGGCAGCAGCATCAGGTGCTTTGCTCCCTGTCATTGGTGTTGGGAATGCCAAGGTTAAGGGAGCTAATGGGGAGCTTGTGGGGCTTGGGAATGTTCTGCTGGTTGAAGGCTTGTCTGCTAACCTTCTCTCTGTGCGACGACTGCAGAAGAGCAAGGCCGAAGTGACCTTTGGACCAACCAGCTGCCGTGCTAAGCTTGGGAAGAAGGTGCTGTGGAGTCTGGAAGAGGAGACCAGCTGCATCAAGGACCTGTGGCAGCTGCCCATCATCCCATGGAATGGGAAGACTCCAACAGCAGCAACGGCAGCAGCGGCAAAGGCAACAGCAGGAGGAGATGCAACTGCACCAACTGATGGGGTCCTGGAAGCAGTCAAGAAAGTGCAGCAGCAGCAGACACATGGTGAGGTGCTTGCTGGTGTGGATGCAAGTGCGGCATGGGCTAAGGCTTCACCAAGGAGTGGAGAGGCCGATTGGGAGACATGGCATGAGAGGCTGTGTCATGTGAACTTCCCTATGCTGCAGAAGTTGGTGAAGGATGGGAGCCTGAAAGGATTGGAGGTAAAGGGGGATTGAAGGAGATTGGGAGCTGCCCTACATGCTTGGAGACCAAGTTCTCCAAGTTCCCCTTCAACAGCACTACAGGACCAGCCAAGACCCCACTTGCACTTGTGCACATGGATGTGGTGGGGCCCACAAGAGCCCCTTCCCTCTCAGGCAGCCGCTATTTCTTGACAATTGTGGATGACCACACTCGGGCAGTGTGGGTTTACCCTTTGAAGAGCAAGGGGGAGGTGGCAGCGGCTGTCCTTAAGGAGTGGATGCCGAGAGCTCAGAGGGAATGTGGACACAAGGTGAAGGTGATCCGCAGTGACAATGGTGGGGAGTTCATTGGAGCTGATTTTGAGGGGAGTTGAAGAGGAAGGGGATCCAGCATCAACTGACAGTGCCCTACAACCCGCAGCAGAATGGCGTGGCTGAGAGGTTCAACAGGACCCTGCAGGAGGGGGCACGCACTCTCCTTGGGCGTGCAGGGCTACCTGATCCGTTTTGGGTGTCTGCACTGAGGCAGGTCGCCCTTGTGAAGAATAGAGTGCTGGCTACAGTTGGGGATAAGGAGTGGATCCCATATACCAAGTGGTATGGGAGTGCTCCAGCTGTGAATATGCTGAGGGCATTTGGGTGCATGGTAGTGTTTCATGTGCCTAAGGAGAAAAGAGGGAAGTTGGAGGCTTCTGGAAGATGGGGTGTGCACTTGGGGATTGCAAAGGATCACAAGGGGTGGCTGCTATGGGACTTGACCACCCAGAAGTTGACAGTGTCAAGGGATGTGAAGTTTCTTGAGTCCCTGTACTACAAGGAATGGAAGCAGCAGCAACAGAAGCTTCCATCTACACCGCTCATTGTGGAGGCAGATGAGGTGCAGCAGCCTTCAAGACAGGTGGAGGTTGCAGTGTCAGAGGAGGAGATGTCTGGGGTGACTGAGGAAGGGGGAGCAGCTGAAGTAGAGCAGCAGCAGCAGCAGCATGAGTCTCCACCTCGAGTTCCACACCCGCCTGAGCGTCCTAGGAGGGATGTGCGCCCTCCAGTGAGGCTGACCTATGGGGGAAGAGGCAAGCCAAATGTGGTGCAGGCTGGGAGTGTGGTTGAGCAGATTGAGGAAGATGAGATCGCTCACTGCTACTGGGCACCAATCCCTGAGCCCAAGACTCGAGAGGAGGCCTTGAATGGACCAAATGGGGAGAAGTGGAAGGCGAGTGAGGATGAGGAGTTCGGGTCCCTGATTGAAAACGAGACATGGGACCTGTGTGACTTGCCTCCTGGAAAGAAGGCAATCACTTCCAAGATGATCTACAGGCACAAGTATGGACCTGAAGGGGAGCTGACCCGCTACAAGTCTAGGCTTGTGGCACGGGGGTTTCAGCAGACAAAGGGAAGGACTATGATGAGGTGTTTGCTCCTGTGGGGAAAGGAACAACACTGAGGGTGCTGTTAGCGATAGCTGCACTCCTGGGATGGAAGATACGGCAGATGGACATTGTGACAATGAGTCCGCTGTGAAGCTCGCCAAGAATGCTTGTCTGCATGGGCTGACAAAACACATAAGGCCTAAGTGGCATTGGGTGAGGAGACTCCTTGATAAGGAGGTGCGGCTGGAGATAGTGAAGACCCATCAGCAGGCAGCAGATATTTTCACCAAGCGTCTGGCGGAGGCGGATCATTGGAAGGGCATGAAGCTTGCTGGGATGAGTGTGCATTGAGTATGCATGCTTGAGATGTGGTATGGTGGATGATGGTTGGCAGCCAGAGGGGGAGATTGTTGTGTGATGTCATCATATGCTATCACATTCTGTCTGCCTCCCATCCCATGTTTTCAACTTGCATGTGTGGTTTGAATGTGCAAGCATTTGTGTGGTGTGTGTTCTGGAGTTTGGGAATGTGTTATGTGTTATTTTGTTTGAGCAGGTATTTGTGATGATAGATCTTGAGAAGATCTTTCCGACGCAACAAGAATCTCTTCAATTGGAGCAACAACGCGAAAGCTATGAAGATTCAAAGTTCATGAGCTTGCGTTACAATTGCGGCGGTTACAAAGTGAAGTTGTGGGGTGACTCTATATGGAGTTGGGACCTTTGGGGTTTGGGAAATTTGTCACTCTACTGTAACAGCTGCAAATTGGTTGGGAACAACCAAGCTAGGTTGGCAAGGGTGGCCAACTTGGATGGATTGGTTGGGAAGGGACAAATGTCAAAGTTGGGGTTCCTATAGGGAGGGAATCTTTGTGCTTATGGGGTTTCCTTGGTTGGGGACTCTCTTGGGACCTTCCCTCTCATCCCTCTCTTCCTATCCCAACCTTTCTCTTGCTCCTTCTAATTCCTTGTGAGATTCTTGAACTTTGATTGAACTCTTGAGATTGAGTTAAGTTCTCCTCCTACAGCTTACCCCCTAGTGCGTCGAAAGCCATAGCGTCGCGAATACTTCATCAATCAACGTGATTCAAATTGGGAACGGTAGCTGAGATCAAGAGCTACAACATATCCAAGTTTCGCGACATTCCAACGGCTAGGTTTTTGTCGACGTCGTTTCTTGTGAAGACGACTTTTCTGTCCAGAATTTCGGATTTATATTTTGAGTAATTCTAGCTCCTAAGTTCACCTAGACTCTGTCCTTAATCCTAACAGCTACCTCCTATGAGGTGCACCCCATTGGCTTGGTCATGGAGGTAGCTTGCACCTCCTTAGTCCACGCAAGTGCACCCCATTTTCGGTGGACGCCTGCTGTGTGCAACGCAGCTCACCAGCTTAACTTGTGGCCGCGCTTCCTACGCTCATAGGTTTCACCCAACCTCCTCTGGACCCGGTTGCCTAGTGACACCTCTGCGTTCCATGTCTGGGGTAGCGTTGCTCCCGTCCGTGCCACTGGCGGGGATAAGCTCTCAGCTCGCACTCTTCCGTATGTGTTCCTTGGGTTTCCTCTTGACGCCCCTAACTGGTTGTTTCAATACCCAGTACACCACCGCTTCTACCATTCTCGTAATATTACATTTGACGAGACGCTCCCCTACTACCGAAGCTTCCCTCACCGCAAATCTCCTATCCCTCCTCCTCCTCTCTTCCTCACCCCTGCCTCGCTGGCCGCACCCCGCCCGGCCCCGTCTGGTGACTCTCTCGCCACTCCTTCCCCTCGGTTGGGCCCTTGGGGGAGTCTGTTGGCTTTGGGGGCTCAGATGTTGGGGTTGCACCTGTTGTTCCTACAACGCCTCCCCCAGCCCAAGTACCCAAGGCACCTCAGCAGCCTCCTCCCTCGCCTCAGCAGTAGCAGCTGCAAGGGGCACTGGGCTCTAGGGATGTTGGTTTTGGGGGTGCTAGTTCTTCGGGTGCTAGTTCTGGGGGTGCTGGTTCTGGGGGTGCTGACTCTAGGGTGCTGGGCTTGTAGGTGGTGCGTCCAACGGTGCTAGTCATGGGGGTGCTGTTTTGGAGCATGTTGGTGGTAGACGTGGTGGAGTTGGAGGTCCTAGCGAGGACAGGGAGCAGCAATAGCAGCGGCAGCATCAGCGGTAGCCGCCGCAGCAGCAGCATTAGCAGCCGTAGCTGGAGCAGCCGCAGCCACAGTCTGCCCTTCGTCTACTTGGTCTTTCCTCAGGTTCCTCTGACTGACCGCCTGTCCCTCCACGTGTGCTTGGCCCTATTTATGACCCGCTGTTCCCTCCCTTAGACTCCTCTCTAGCTTGTTTTTCCTCCATGCTCTCCTCCGTTCCCTGTCTTGTCTCCCATCCTCCCTCGTCCACAGTCCCTCGTTCTTCCCCACTTGTTCTGTCGTCTTCCTGGTGCTCGTCCTATCTCTCCTCGTGCTAGTGTCCACCCTATGGTCCTTCATTTTCGTTCTCCTCCATTCAAGTCCTTCCGTAACCTCCCTTGTCATTGCTCCCGTTGTCCTCTTCTCCTCTCAATCACTCTGCTCGCACTGCTCGTCCAGCCCTCTCGCACTTGCTTGCGTCGCTTGTCCTTGCCCTACTGCTCCTCGTGAGTTTGTCTTTGCGCTTGTCGCTGCTGTCGTTCACTTCACTGCTAGCCACCGCCTTGACTACGCTACGGCTCTGGTCTCTCTTACCGCCTTTTCTCCGTCCATCGGGGGTGCACCTGCCCTTGGCAGTGACGCCCTATGGGATAGGCAGTATGAGCTGGCCTACCTTGCTGTCGCTGTACCCCATCTCTGCTCCATGCTTGAATCCCTAGAGGGCGACACGGATGCCCTCCACATCCTTATCCCGCGCTCTTATGCTGAGGCAGTGTCGAGTGTCTGGGAAGCCCAGTGAATACAAACCATGGAGGCAAAGATAACATCGTGCAGATCCGCACGCAATCACGTCGACGCAGTTTCCCCAGCTGGGGCGAACGTAGTCAATGGCAGATCTACATGGTGAAGCCGCCTGGAGAGTCGTCGAAACTCAAGGCGCGCTACATGGCTAGAGGCATCAGTCAACAGGAGGGTGTTGACTTCTTCCAGACCTTCTCCCCTACACTGAACATGATTACTCTTTGGGTGCTCATTCATCTAGCCGCGCTGTGTGACTACGAGCTTCACTCACTCGGCTTCTCCACAGCCTTCCTGCCGGGCAGTCCGCATGAACACGTCTACTTCCGATGCCCACTAGGCTTCTTTGGATCCTTCCCACCTGGGACCTAGTGGAGCCTGCATTGCCTTGTCTATGGCGTGCGCCAGGCGCCCCGTAAGTGGCACGATATGCTCCGTACCACACTTGCTTTTCTACAATTCTTTCTGCCTTTTGCTGACCCTGCGCTATTTTTCCGTACTGGTCAGACCCCGTTCTATCTAACTGTACGTAGACGATCTTATCTTTGCTACTCTTAGCAGAGACGCACTGGCCTCAGTGAAGGCCGATTTACTTAGGAAGCACACCCGCACTGACCTAGGGGAGCTGATGCGCTATCTAAGCTTGGAGATCTTTCGTGACTGTGCAGTGCGTACGATCATACTCTCCAAGTCCCACTTGGTGCAGGAGATCCTTCAGAGGTTCAATCTCTAGTTCTTCTCAGCACAGCTCACCTCTCTGCTTGTGGATCACAAACCCTCTACTCATGTTCTGATTGAGCTGGCCGAGCCTAGTGGTCCACATGCAGGGCTGGTGAGGTGCCTCATGTACCTAATGACCTGCACTCGACCAGATCAAGCGTACCGTCTCAGTGTCCTTGCTCACTTTGTTGCAACAGGCAGGCACCGACCAGTCCGCTGGTTGGCTGCCAAGAGGATGATTTGGTATCTGCCAAGTACATCAAGACTTGGGCTTGTACTAGGAGGACAGAGCCAGTGGTGCTCACATGACACATTGACGCGTCGTGGGCTGATGACTTGGAGACACTCAAGTCCTGACAGGGCTACGGTTGGTCTTGGTTCTGGTGCAGTCTCGTGGAGGTCCACCAGGTCATCGCCTGTAGCTTGGTCTGGTTGTGAGGCAGAGATCTACGCTTGGGCCATGGCCGCTCAGGACTTCCGCTGGCTGACGTTCTTGCTCACTGACTTAGGTGAGCAGGGTAGGTCTGCCCTGGTCTTGTTTGCTGACAATAGGGCCATGATCCTCCTGTGTCAGGAGGCTCGACTAGAGGGCAAGGCAAAACACATCCAGCTGCGGTACTTTCTGTTGCGTGAGTTGCACCAGTGCGGTCAGGTTCATGTAGTACAAGTGGCCCCCAAGGCCAACACTGCTGATATCTTCACCAAGGCGCTAGCACCTCGTAACCATCAGCGTACTCAGCTTGGTCTAGTCTTAGTAGTAGCTCCTCTCCTTGTAACATGACCTATGGTTTACCGGCTTATACTTGGCATTTTTAATATCCAGTATATCAAATGAATGCGTGGGATGTTTTTTTTTTTAGTTTCTCATTATTATTGGAACAATCACCTGAGTAATAAGTTATAATCCATTACAACAACTGGTGTAAAATACCACAGTCATGTAGTGTAAGAATTTCAATCTTGTTCCGCCAGGCAACCTGTAGGTGATGCTCTTTTTCTAGCCTGAACTTGACGAGCCTCGGCCCTCTGTTAGTTTCTAGGTTTGCAGGGCCTCGCACTAGGCTGTTTGAGCTCGGCTGGCTTGTAGGGCATCCGAGCCGAGAAGCCTCGGAGTCGCGCTAAGCTGTTTTGGGCGGGCGGCTCGGTTGACGTTCAGTGAAAGGCTCTTCCCGGCTAATGTTGACGCAATGTGATAACAGTCGTAGAGCGTTCACGGGGCTGGCTGTAATGCATACTAATATCTACCTAGCACAATTGGCGCGACTTAGCTAGGGCTCTATAGCGTGACCTACGCTAGGCTGCAAGCGTCAGAAAGTTGTGCTAGGGAAGGTTGGGTAAGGTGTACAAATGTGGTCAACCACCCAACCCAAGGCAAATATAGATTGGAAATTCCAACCCTTCATATTGAGGCTTGGAAATTTCCAAGCCTACACATTGCCAACCAATGGTTGGACTTTCAACCAACCACAGGTTGACAGTTGGTGTTACAACCAACTCAATCCAATAATTTCTTCCACACACTTGCTCTCAAATGGGTAGCAATCGAACTTGAAATGCCACCTAAGCAACTCCACTATAGGAGCTCCTCCACCTTCATATTAGGGAACACCAGAGTCCACCGCCTCGGCATGATGTTTTGGTTGTCGATCAGGGTCAATACACATTATACGCTATCGATCTCCACCTAGCTGTTACCCAACTCTAAAAGTTTGCCAGCTGCTCCGTCAGATCTTGAAGAATTCCCAACCCGGTACCCTGACGTTGACCCAGCGCGCTGACGTTAACCCATCGTCACGCTCATCCTGGTACCTAAGTAGGTCCTAGGCTTTCGCCTTCAAGTAGCCCGCGTAATCCAGATCAACTTCCTCCGCTTAGCCGCACTCCAAAACTTTCAGACAAGAGTGACAAACTCCTCCAGCTGTAACCCAAAATTCTTCAAAATACTCTGGTAACCCTGCCAGTTGGCCCTGCATACGTTCACCCATCTCACGGCTGCTGCAAGTTACCCAAAACCGCTTTGCTGCTGCTTAACTAACTAAGAGAATCTGCAGAGATAGGAGTACGCACGCTTCTAGTCAGAGGAGCTTTAACGAGCTCGCCTACTGACTTTTGGACAGCTCCCTCCTCCGTCAAACTACACCTGCAAAAGTCGGAACCTCCTTCTGCTGCACCAGGTGAAACCCTCACTTCCGCTGCAACAGTAACGCCTTAAATTTTGGGGACACTCTATCAGCACAGTGTAGTTCGCAGGTTCACCCCCCTTATTCAGCCAAGAGCCGTCGATTAATAAGTCGACACTGCTACCTGGTGGGGATGGTGATTTCTGGTCGACGTAGCTGAGCGAGTAGCAGCCCGAACGCTGCTAACCCTTAACTGTACCAGTACTCCCGTCGTTCTTCTTCCACTATGTCAGCTCCTGACAGTTAACGCTTTCGGCGACCAGTGGAAAAACACTAAATACACGACCAATGGTGGTGGCCTCCGTTTCCGTTGATCGTGGGGGTATGAATCGCTGGCCCACGAAAACGCCTCCCCACGCGGAAAGTTGCCCTCGCTGAGTACACTCAATCCAGCACAACGTCATCACCTCCAGATGGCCGTCGTGGTGAATAGCGCCGAGGTCGTTAATCCCAGCTGCTCCCACACAGCTGCACACCCACACATGCATCGTGCGATCGTGTCGTTCCGAAATTGTCGGATCCGCCTATTGCTGAAACCGTTTTGAAGTCCCGTCCATCGTCTGCAACTAGCCTGTTGGAAACGTCGGGACTCGCAAAACAGCTACAGTTCACCCTGCAGCTTCATGGCGCACCATACGTACATCGTTGTACATCCCGCCAATTTCGCCACCCCGCACGCTCCTCACGACCAACTCCCGGCCGCCTGAGGACTCCCGTGCACTTGTTTTCTCATAACGAAGCCTTCGCTTATTTCGGAAACCAAAGTTAAGATTCCGTCAGAACACCCGGAAATTACGAAAGCTCTAACTAACTTACCCGAAAAACACGGCAAAAATGTCGCCATTTCTTCGACGGGAAATCATTCCGTCTACGCCCAGGGAAGGGGAGGACCGGCTAATCCCAGCCGTCCATCGGACAGGATCCGACGGCATCGACGACGCCCATGCAATTAATCACCGCGTGATCCGCTTGCCATCTGTATCCTTCCGCCCCCTTCCCCAGTAGGGACTGCTCCCCTATCGGAACCTAGATGGGCAGAATCGTGGCTCTGATATCAGCTGTCATGAATTATAACTCAGAGTATAGCGCAGAGTACTATAGGGGAACGCGAATTATATGCTGTACAGAATGAATGAGGCCTAGGGCTCATATAGTGCGAGTTGACCAGGGTTGAATGTCGAGGGTTGGACCAGTCAAGGGCTCGACAGTCCTGAGTGTGACGGGGTCAACATGGGTTCGGGGCGACTCGGGATGAGGTTGGGGCCGTCGAGGTCGTAGGGGGCTGGTTTGGCGCGTGACTTGAGGGCCGAGACCTCGGACGCGAGAGGTTTGCGTGTACTCGCTGTGGCGAGCCCCAGTAAGGAATAGTAATTCTTTACACTAATGGGATTTTCTCCAAGTCTTTGAGCCCTCCTCACAACTTCCCCTACACAACTCTCTTAAGGACTTCTTCATTCAAGTCTCTCCGTTCAAGACTTCTCCAACAACTTCAAGGCTACTCTAGGGCTAAGCTACGGTTATTATTAGATTGGAGAGCATTCCTTGCTTGTAACCCTATTATAAGAGCCTTGGTTGTTACACTGGCAGAGTGTAAGGAATTCGTAATTCCTTACCGAGGCTTGCTACAGAGGGTACGACTCGAACAGTCCCGAACCAGCGATAGGGTTCCAGACCTTTCAGTTCGAGCCTCCTGGGCCTTTCCGGACCTCGTTTCGACACATCGAGGCCCTTCGATACATTTCCCATACCTTCCATCCTACGTCCAGGATCGCCCTTGTTTTGTCATTCATTTTATTGTCTTTCACTCGTTCACAGTTTCGCCATTGCCCTCCGCGCTACTCGGCAGTTCCACTCATGACACCTGCTGGGCAACAGTCGGGCTGCCGGGAAAACCGGAAGGGCCTGTACTACTGTTGACTAAGTTCAGATTGGTCGTCCCAAGAATACAGTAGCAGGCGGCATTGGTCGTCATTGCCGCTCAGCCGTCACTGTTGCGACGTTTTGAGGGTCGCATTGGATTAGTTGAGGAACGGAGCTTGCGCACCGGTAGAAGCATTCCTTTGCAAGGGCCGGAAATTATACTATGTTCGCTTTTCGCCCCGTAAGCGTGGCCATGGCTCATCGTTGGACTGCTGACGGAGTGGACTAAGAAATCACAAACAAAAAAAACTATCGTTTTCTGTGAAGCTCTTTTTTTTGTTTCCGCGGAAGACTCCGCCGATGGTCCGGCTTCCCCCCGCGCAACCCATTCCGCGGAAAATGCGCGACTCGCGATCCCTACGGCATGTGGACGAGTTTGAAAGACTGGCGGCCGAAAACGACGCGGACAGCGTCGCCGGCCGTCGCACGGACGACGCCGGCGACGGCGACGGCGACCCCTCCTCGTCGCCGCCCGCGGCATCTGCGACCGCGAGCGACGTTGAGGCGCCCGTGCGAATTCGCACGGTGCATTACGACGCGCGACGGGAGACGGATTACGTGATCGTGGTTCACGGCACGTTCGACGCGCCACCCGCGGACGGCACGCGCACGTGGTACCAGCCTCCCGCTCCGGGGGAGCAGAACTTCTGCGCCAAGATGGGCGCGCTGCTGGCGCGCGGACCCATCGGCGCGGGGAGCGTCTGGCGGGAGCTTCCGCCCGAGTTAGCGTCGCAAGGGGCAGGAACGCAGGGAGCTGAGTCGCATGGCGTCGCCGAGTCGTCGTCAGGGACAGTGTCGCAGGTGGCAGAATCGCAGGGAGGCGAGGGGTCGCACGTGGGGGAGTGGCAGCGCATGGTGGGCGGCGACGTGCCTTACCCGTTCTTCTGGGACGGCAGCAACACGCACGAGGGACGTGTGAAGGCCGCTGAGAAGGTACAGCAGGGAGGATTGGCTAAGGTACGGCAGGGAGGACTGGCTAAGGTACGGCAGGGAGGACTGGCTAAGGTACGGCAGGGAGGACTGGCTAAGGTATGGCAGCTGAAAAGGTACGGCAGGGAGGGCCACCTGGTTAAAATGGAGAGAACACGGGGAATGATAGAGAGGGGAAAGATAGTGAGGCGAATGATAGAGAGGGGAATGATAGAGAGGGGAATGACAGAGAGGCGAATGATAGAGAGGCGAATGATAGAGAGGCGAATGATAGAGAGGCGAATGATAGAGAGGCGAATGATAGAGAGGCGAATGATTGAGAGGGGAATGATAGAGAGGCGAATGATAGAGAGGCGAATGATAGAGAGGCGAATGATAGAGAGGCGAATGATAGAGAGGCGAATGATAGAGAGGCGAATGATAGAGAGGCGAATGATAGAGAGGCGAATGATAGAGAGGCGAATGATAGAGAGGGGAATGATAGAGAGGCGAATGATAGAGAGGGGAATGATAGAGAGGCGAATGATAGAGAGGGGAATGATAGAGAGGCGAATGATAGAGAGGGGCATGATAGAGAGGGGAATGATAGAGAGGGGAATGTCACAAGGGTAAATGGCAGCACAGAATTTGCCGTAGCCGTCCTTCAGCAACATGCACAAGGGACGCGTGAAGGCTGCTGAGAAGGGAAGGCAGGGAGAGTCCAAGGAGAAGGCAGGGATAACTCATGCTTTATCCCTCCCTCCTACTAAGCCCGTATCTACCCTTGCTGCTCCTTCCCCTTTTCCCACTCTTCCCTCCCTTCCATTCCAGAATCATTCAAGATTCTCTTCCCTCCCTTACATTTCAGAGTAAAAGGCCTCCAGAGATGACTTTTGAGTCGACTTAAAAGGCCTCCAGAGATGACTTTTGGGTCGACTCTTGAGTCGACTTTTGAGTCGACTTAAAAGGCCTCCAGAGATGACTTTTGAGTCGACTTAAAAGGCCTCCAGAGATGACTTTTGAGTCGACTTAAAAGGCCTCCAGAGTTTTCTATTCTCTCCCCCCACTCTCTTCTTCCTCAACTTCCTTTCCCTCTCTTCCCATCTCTTCCCCTCTCCTCGCTTCTCCTCTCTTCCCCCAACACAGCCAGCCTGCTTGTTCGACCTGATAGCTCGCAGTGACCCCTCACCTCGCATCGTGTTATTGCTCATTGCTCCCCTTCCCTGTATTTCGCCCTTTCCTCTTTTTCCCCCTCTTCCCCCTCTTCCCCCCTTTCCCTATCTTGTCCCCCTCTGCCTTCTCCTCCACCTCCCTGCTCCACGCCCAACTCAGCTCGCAGTGACCCCACCTCCACCTCCACGGCCCACTTGTTCGACCTCATCGCTCGCAGCGACCCCTCTGCTCACACCCACGTTATTGCCCACTCCGCCACCCTTCCACCCTCTACCCCTGCCTCCCGTGTTCCCCCCCTCTCGCACCCTTCCCAACACAGCTCGCCTTTTGAGGCGCCTCAAAGTCCTTCCACCCTCTGCCCCTGCCTCCCGTGTTCCCCCTCTCTCGCACCCTTCCCAACACAGCTCGCCCGCTTGTTTGACCTGATAGCGCGCAGCGACCCGTCAGCTCGCATCCACGTTATTTCCCACTCCCATGGGGGCAACGTGCTGCTTAAAGCCACAGAGCTGGTGAGTGCTGCTTAAAGCCCCACCGGCAGGTTGCAAGTCCCCCTTTCTCAAGATGCTGCACCTTGAGGCCCCCGTAACCAAGCAGCTAGCGTCTAACTGCCAACTGCTCGCTAAGGGTTTCCAACTTGGCAGGGCTGGGGGACCTCTCGGAACTTGGCAGTGCCAACCTGCCAAGTTCTTCAAGGGGAGAAATGGGACGAGTTGTGTGCGGGGTAGAAACCTGCTTTTGTACTCGCAGTTTGGGCGGGAATCGCGGAAGAAAAGTATGCTTTGAATTTTTGGCGTCGCAGAAAATCGAACTGTACAGCGCGCCAAACCGCATCCGATTTTTGTTTTCGACACCAGTCAGGACGAGGTGCAGGTTGTGATGTCAACAGCCAACCAGTCACCCTGCAAACTTGGCAGTGGAGGTGGTTCGCCGCGAGAGTGAGTGCTCCAAAACTTGGTAGCCCTGCCAAGTTTCCAGCCCACTAGCTTGTGCGAACAAACGCTTACTCTGCGAAGCCCAGTCTTCGCCAGAATAATTCGTTTCTATAATTCTTCATCGACCAATCAGATTCTGCCGCCCCACCAAACTGAACAGCGCAAATATGCAACCTGCCGGGCGGGCTTTAAAGCCACAGAGCTGGTGAGAGTTTGATGAGTCACTATTAGGATTTTGACCAGATGTATATCCCACTAGCACCAAGCGCTACGAGCACCCTCCATTCCCCCCTCCCCTTTTCTTCCCTCTCCCCGCCCTCTCCCTCTCCCCACCCTCTCCCTCTACCCGCTTTCCCTGCCGAGCATGAAGAAGCTCCCACGGGGTCTCTGAGCAGCCTGCACTGCACCTAGCAGTGCAGCAGAACTATGTAAGCACTACAAGCTGTTTTCTCCTCCCCCCCTCCCCTTTCCTTCCCCCCTCCCCTTTTCTTTCCCCCCTTCCCCTTTCCTTCCCCGCCCTCCCCTTTTCTCCTCCCCCCTCCCTCCTCCCCTCCCCCCCTTTCCTTCCAGTACATGAAGAAGCTTCCTACCGAGTCTTTGAGCAGCCTGCACTCGGCAATAAGGAAGCGCTTCTGGGCGGCTCAGAGGCGAGGATTCGATCTGGTGATACGAGCGCCCTCTTTCTCCCCGTTCCCCCCCTTCCCCCCTTCTCCCCCCCCTGTCCATTCACTACATGAAGAAGTCAAGGTGACTTTTGAGTCGACTCAAAAGTCACCATGAAGAAGTCTAGTTTTGAGGCGCCTCAAAACTAGTCTCCCCCTTCCCCCCCTTCTCCCCCCCCTGTCCATTCACTACATGAAGAAGCTTCCTGCCGAGTCTTTGAGCGGCCTGCACCCGGCAATGCGCCAGTACCAAGTGATCACTACGAGTCCCCTCCCCCTTCCCCCCTCCCCTTCCCCCATCCCCCATCCCCTTCCCCTCCCCTCCCCCATCCACCCTCCCCCTCCCCCAATTGGTCCTTCGTATTAGGCAGTGTAGGGTAGCGGCAAGGCAGCGGACAGCGCACAGTAGGTGAGACCTAACAACCCAGGCCAGGGGACCTTAAGGGTCCCCCAGCACTGGCTCTAACACATGCAACAAGTCCCCCACGGAGAGCGGAGCCGCCGGCTCACCCCAAGGCTGCTCCTCCACGGTGAGCGCCTCGTTGATCTTCGTGTTGAGGGCCACGGCTTGGCCCCGCTGCAGAGTCACCAACCATCGCTGGCGGTACTCGTGGAACAGCTTCGCGGCCTCCCGGGAGGTGGGAGCCGCCTGGCGGTGCTTGCGTGCCGCCAACCCGACGCACTGCTTGAGAAAGCCAAAAACGCCGGGCGAAGAACAGCCGTACGTCTCCGCCGCCATCGAAAAAAAGCCAGCCCACTCCACCCGGGCCAGTGGGCGGTACTTGTTTTCCTTGCCCCGGGCTGCCACTCGAGCCGCCCAGCCAGTCCCCTTGCGAGCCAACGGGTCGTCCTGGGAGATTGGATCAGTCAGAGTGACGTCACAAAGCCACACCGCCCCCGAATCGGGGTGGCAGATGGCGACGTCCGCCCAAAGATTGGAGACCGGTGTGAAGAGTTTGGTCTCCTTGCGCGTAATGAACCCCGCCTCGATGGCGATCCGCGCGTATTCATCCCGCAGGCCGTGGTGCGCACCCGTGCGACCCAGCCCCTTAGCGCACCTCAGGAGGTGGTTGGGAAGGCGGTGGTCGTCAATGTCGGTACGGTCGGCGCAGTCAGAGGCCCGGGGTGGAGTGAGGGGGCCCCAGGCGGAAAGCCACGGCAGTGGAGAAGTGGCCAGGGCTGAGGCGGAGTGAAGAGGAGAAGGGGAGGGCGTGCAGCCAATCGCCTGCCCCCGGGCCCATGAGCGAAAGCAGGCGCTGCGTGTGCCCCTGGAGTGGATTTAGCGGCATGCGGCGTGTCTGGTCCGGCTGGAGCATGAACCGCTCCGCCTGCACCTGCAGCGCCAGCGCCCGCCCGCTGAAGCTTGGGCGGGTCTGGGGAGGAGTGTTTTTGGCGCAGAAGATCCGCAGCAGAAGGCGGCAGGGAGTTCTCGAGAATGGCGAGGCGACAGGGGAAGGGCGTGGGGCCAGCGGGATTGGGGTTGAACTGCCCCAGCAGCCCCCTCCCCCTCCCCCATCCCCCATCCCCCCTCCCCCTCCCCCATCCCCCCTCCCCCATCCCCCTCCCCCCTGTCCGTTCAGTACATGAAGAAGCTTCCTACCGAGTCTTTGAGCAGCCTGCACCCGGCGATCAGGAAGCGCTTCTGGGCGGCGCACAGGCGCGGATTCGATATGGTGAAAGTTTGGCGGCAGCCGGCTAGACCCTCTGGGTGGCAACGGCTCTTCCCTTCCCCCGTTGTCATGAGGAGGTGAGGAGTGAAGAGGTGAGGAGTGAAGAGGTGAGGAGTGAAGAGATGAGGAGTGAAGAGGTGAGGAGTGAAGAGGTGAGGAGTGGGGAAAGGTGAGGACCAGATGGTTCGGAGTGTACGCGAGAAAAAAGGGTTCTTTCTAAGTAGAAGCTGGCGCCCGGTGGTTCAACCTGTGCTCCCTGTGCTCCCTGTCCTCCCTGTGCTCCCTGTCCTCCCTGTCCTCCCTGTCCTCCCTGTCCTCCCTACCTGCAAGCAAAGCATGACGGGCGGCAAGGTCTCTCACGGCACCAAGGAACGCTACCCCTGGGGCCGCTACCACTGCCTGGACTCCCTCCTGGGCCTCCCCACCAAGCGGCAGCGCCTCTTCCTCGCCCACCGCCTCGCCACGAGCCCCCTGTCCAACGCGCTGGGCTCCCTCGTCTTCCTGGGCACGCCCTTCTACGTCAAGAAGTGGGAGCGCAACGGGATACGGTGGCTGGTGGTGGGCACGGTGGCCAGCATCGTGGTGACGCTGGTGGTGATGTGGGGCTATGCGATGCTCGTCTCGTTTGCCATCCGCAGTATCGTCAGCCATCAGACGTACGCAGGGCCCCAGTGGTCCCTTCCCCACTGCCCCAGTTTCAGCATGCCAAAGAAAGGCCGGGGCCGGGGGTGGGGCCGGGGGTGGCCTTGAATGACCTGTTGACTCCGTGTGTAATGAGTCTATTTTTGAGTCGACTCAAAACTTGAATGACCTGTTGACTCCGCTTCCTCACTGCCCTATTGACTGAACCGACACACCTCACAACTCCCGTCCACAACCCCCCTACCCCCACACTACCCCCACACTACCCCCACACTACCCCCACACTACCCCCACTTCTCCCCCCCACTTCTCCCCCCCACTTCTCCCCCCACTTCTCCCCCCACTTCTCCCCCCCACTTCTCCCCCCCACTTCTCCCCCCCACTTCTCCCCCCCACTTCTCCCCCCCACTTCTCCCCCCCACTTCTCCCCCCCACTTCTCCCCCCCACTTCTCCCCCCCACTTCTCCCCCCCACTTCTCCCCCCCACTTCTCCCCCCCACTTCTCCCCCCCACTTCTCCCCCCCACTTCTCCCCCCCACTTCTCCCCCCCACTTCTCCCCCCCACTTCTCCCGTCCCTCCCACCCCCCTACCCCCTCACTTCCCCCCTCCCTCCCGTTCCACCCCTCCCGCCCCCCCTTTTCAACACACTTCACTTCCCCGCCCCTACCCCCCCCCCCCCCTTTTTCAACAAGCCTCACTTCCCCCCCCCCCCCCTTTTCAACACGCCTCACTTCCGCGCCCCCTCCCTTCCTACGTGGCGTTGCTAGGTATCTCAGCTCGGCCCTTACCCTGACTCAGCATTCCCACCTTATCCTGGTCTTGTTTTAGGCGCTTCAAAACTTGCTTTCACTTCCCAGATTCCCCTCTTTCCCCCCCCCCCACACCCCCACCACTCCCCCATTCTACCCCCCTTCTACCCCCCTCCTCTCCCCCAAAGCGAACGCTCCTTATGTGGAACTGCTGGTCACCTCGGCCCCTATCCTGGCCCCTAGTCACCTCGGCCCCTATCCTGGCCCCTAGTCACCTCGGCCCCTATCCTGGCCCCTAGTTACCTCGGCCCCTCTCCTGGCCCCTAGTCATCTCGGCCCCTCTCCTGGCCCCTAGTCACCTCGGCCCTTATCCTGGCCCCTAGTCCTCGGCTGTCGTCTAGTCTCCTCGGCTGTCGTCTAGTCTGCTCGACTGTCGTCTAGTCTGCTCGGCTGTCGTCTAGTCTCCTCGGCTGTCGTCTAGTTGACGCAGAAGTCCGCACTCCTCACTTCCCCCACCCCCCTCCCCGATTTCCGCACGCCCCTCAGAGTGGACGCGCCCTACATAGCGCCACTAATCGCATCGGCCCTCATCCTGGTCTTTGCCACCATCAGCGTCAGCATCGAGGTACGGCATCAGCTGCACTACACCACCTCTTACCGCACTCAACTGTTCACCACGCCTCAGAGTGGACGCGCCCCACATAACGCCACTAATCGCATCGGCCCTCATCCTGGTCTTTGCCACCATCAGCGTCAGCATCGAGGTACGGCATCTGCTGCACTACACCACCTCTTACCGCACTCAACTGTTCACCACGCCTCAGAGTGGGTGCGCCCTACATAACGCCACTAATCGCATCGGCCCTCATCCTGGTGTTTGCCACCATCAGCGTCAGCATCGAGGTACGGCATCTGCTGCACTACACCACCTCTTACCGCACTCAACTGTTCACCACGCCTCAGAGTGGGCGCGCCCTACATAACGCCACTAATCGCATCGGCCCTCATCCTGGTGTTTGCCACCATCAGCGTCAGCATCGAGGTACGGCAGTTATTGCACTCCACCCCTTGTTACCGCACTCAACCTGTCATGCCATCTTTCTCGTTTTTCGCCTTGTTTGTCCCTCTCCCCCTATTCCCTCTCCTCCTTCTCCCTCTCCCCCTATTCCCTCTCCTCCCTCCAGCTCTCCCGCAGTGCAGCCTTCTACAGCGGCAACATCTACCATGCTCCGGACTTTGATTGGTCGCCTGCCATGTCAGCACTGGTCGTCCATGCTGGCAAGCTTGATGAGGTGAGAAATTTCCCCCTATCTCCACCTTCCCCCCACACATTTCCCCCACCCTCCCTCTATCACCTCCGCCCCTTATTGTTTCCACCCATCTGCCAGCCCCCACTTTCCAACCCTCCCCATTGGTCGTTCATCCTGGCAAATTGGACGAGAGGAGAATGCTCCCCCATCCCCCCCCCTCCTTCCAACTCCCCACGCCATCTCCACCCTGCTGCCAACCCTGACCTCCCCACCCTCCTGCCAACCCTGACCTCCCCACCCTCCTCCCACCCAACCCTCCGCCCACCTGCCAGCCCCCACCTTCCTTCCCTCCCGTCTGGTCGTCCACGCTGGCAAGCCAGACGACGAGAGAATTCGCATAAAAGAGAGTAGGCCGGGGCATCTCAACCCCCATTTCTCCTCAGCCCAGTTAGAGATGTCTCAAAATGGCCATTGCAGGCGCACTGGTATTTTCCCACTGGCACCCTTTCTCTCCTTTCTCCCCGTGTCCCTTTTCTTCTTCTTATCCCCTTTCATACCTTTCTGCCGATTTCCCTGTTCTTCTCTTTCTCCCCTTTCTCCCCTCTCCCCTCTCACCTCTTTTCCCCCAACCGCCACTCCCCCACTCCCCTCCCAACAGGCCAGCCTGGCACTCAGTTCCGAGCCTATCGCCCGAGCCTACGTCTTTCCGCACCTAGCCAACATGCTCAAGCTGCCCTTCTGGAAGAGCCTCCCCCAGCTGCCACCCAAAGGCGCCCTCGCAGTCGACTGGCTCCTTTTTTTCGCCACCTTCGGGCGGATCCTTCTGTGGAACATAATTTTCATCCTGCCAGCGATTTTCATCTCTCTGGCGTCCCATGTGGTGGCGCCGATGGTGATAGGGGTGGTACGGAACGTGATCGTGACCATCAGCTTTGGCCTGGCTCAAAACGAGCTGAGCTTCGCCCATGTCTTCATGGATGAGATTCTGGACCTCGGACTTTCTTCCCAACACGTGGAGCACTGGAACGTGCAGGTGAGAGGCTGGGAAAGTGAGCGCATGTTGGGGACTTGCAGTGAGCTGAGCTTCGCTTATGTGCTCATGAATGAGGTGCTGGACCTGGGGCTGTCCTCCCAGCACGTGGAGCACTGGAACATACAGGTGGGAAGGTGATGGGAGTGTAAGGGAGCTTCTCAGTATGCAGGTGCGTGATTGTGACCATCAGCTTCGGCCTGGCGCAGAACGAGCTGAGCTTCGCCCATGTCATCATGGACGAGATTCTGGAGCTGGGGCTGTCTTCCCAGCACGTGGAGCACTGGAACGTGCAGGTGAGGGGAGAATGGGAGTGTAAGGGTACTAAACTGCGGAGTTTGGCATGGCACAGGCTCAGAGCGAGCTGAGCTTCGCCCATGTGGTCATGGATGAAGTTCCATGTGGTCATGGATGAAGTTCCATGTGGTCATGGATGAAGTTCTGGGCCTGGGGCTGTCCTCCCAGCACGTGGAGCACTGGAACGTGCAGGTGAGAGAATAGAAGTGATGGGTACAAACAAGTGAGTACTGGTGGCTGCGTAGATACCAGGTGCCTATGATCGGAAAGGAATAGGACTGTGAGGGTGCATTTGATTTTGCAGATGAGTGAATCGGAAAACCAGACATTGGACTGTGCAGTGGTTATTAAGTGCTTCGTGGGAAGACCAGACAAGAGGAGTGGTTGAAGTGGAGCTGCTTCAAAAGCTTCAAAGGCTTCAAAGGCATTCCTTCTTGGCCCGACTTTCTACATTCCTTCTTGGCCCGGCTTTCTGCAAACCAACCTCGTTGCGATGTTCCTCCCTCTCCGTCTCAACCTTCCCAGAAACTTCTAGCGCTGGCCAAGACCCGGTCGCTGCAGGGGGAGCTGATGGCAGGGTACGAGGATGACACCTGCGACATGGGGGAGGCTGTATTCCAGGAGGGGTTGCTTGGGGAGGGGCTGATTTTGGGGGATGGGGAGAAGGATGCGGGGAGGAAGGAAGAAGGGGTTAAGGGAGAAGAAGTTAAGGGGGAGGGGAGCGGGCATGCAGTGCAGCAGAAGAAGGGAGGGTCGGCAGTGGGGGGAGAAGGGGTAGCAGGAAGCGGTGGTGGTATGGCAGGAGTAGCAACACCAGAACGAATGGCAGCAGCAGCAGCAGCAGCATCAGCACCAGGAGCAGCAGCAGACGCACCAATGGCACAACAGGCATCAGCGACAGCAGGCACAGCTGGCGACACCCAATCAATTCCGGCAGCGTCTGCAGCAGCAGGGGTGGCGGTAGCAGGGGTGGCGGTAGCAGGTGCTGTAGGGACAGCAGCAGAAGAAGAGAAGGACAAGGAGAGCCGCTACCGGCCCATTCTGGACCCGTCTTTGAGCGCCTCTGCTGGCCAATGGCAGCGCAGCGCGAGCAGGCTGCGGAGGCGAGTTACGTTCAAGAGCGCGCGAACCCTCAGAGATGACACCCACGGAGATGACACGCACGGAGATGTAACGCATGGAGATGTAACGCATGGAGATGTAACGCATGGAGATGTAACGCATGGAGATGTAACGCATGGAGATGGACCGCATGGACATGTAACTCCTGGAGATGTAACGCCGGATCGTCCTCTCCTCCCACCCGGCACAAGTCTGGGGTTCTCCTCTTCCAACCCCCCCCATACGTGGGTGGAGGATGGGGAAGGGGGCCGTGCCAAGCAGCCAGGAATGGAAGGGGAAGAGGGGGGAGGAGCGAGGAACGGAGAAGAGGGACAGGGGGAGAAGCACGGCGAGGCTGGGACGTCAGGGGGTGTGGTGGGGAACAAGAAGCATGGGGAGGAGAAGCTGTTGTATGATTATTTATGGGACGATAACGATCTGGATGAGGCGGCCGCCAAGTGCCTCACTTACCAATGCCTCGAGCCGGAGATTAAAAAAATGCAGCGGAACCCCCGGCTGACCCCGCAGCAGTTTGTTCGGCAGATTAAGGAGCTCTGTGTGATGATCGAGGATCGGTTTCGGGAGCTTACGGGAAAGTTTGACCTTAATCACGGGGCGTACTTTAGAGATCCCCGGATTTTAGGGGTGGTTGCGCATTTTTTGGAGTTTAGGGAGCTTCCAGAGTGGTCTAGAGCGATTGATACCGATGTGTTGAGAGCAGAGACCCTGGTGCATTCAGGTCTGGGCCGGGCTTGTGCCTTGTGAACCAGCATTAAATTAATGAGTATTGAAGTATACTCGACAGAGTTTACTTATACATTCCTGATATAACACTTAGACTGTACTAGTAGCGCGATACCTCATATGGAAATGGAAGGACGCGCGTGATGACCTTGTTAGAATACTAGAATAATTAGAAAGAAGAGAGAAGGGAGATATAGGGTTTGGGTTGTACTCTCTAAGAACACACACCTATTCTAGCATATAACTTCTACATGCAAATGTATGTATAAGTTGACACACCCCCTAGGCTAGATAAGGGGTAGTGCTGAGCAAGAAGCACACAGCTCAGGCTGGCACTACTAGTCCAACCTCTGAGACAGGGGTCCGAAGACCAGTCAGCAAGAGTACAAACAAGACAGGAGCAAACCAGGTCGGCACTACTACTCCGGCCACTGGAAGAGAAGCCACAAGGCCAGTCTGAAAGATATATTTAAAGAGGTACACAATCAAGGCAGGTCCCAAAATATCCGTATGAAATGCCATGATTACCCTGATTTTAAGGGTCATTTTTTGTACTAGTCTGATTTTTCAGGGTTTGAAAAAAATTAACCTTGATGTAGAAAGTCCGGGTGTGCGCACGGCCAACCCTGATACGTCAAGGTGGCCCGGAAATTACCCTTAATGCAAAACAGTCAAGTGCTTTACGCGTGGCGTTTTTTCCTCGCGCACCATTAGCAAATGCCATCCACATTCCAACCACCTGCGGCAGTTTGCCACCCTGCCCCACCCGCGCTGTCGAATATTCCCCTCCAGCTGTCCATGCGTCAGCTTCTGTTAGGCCCGCTATTGGTCGCTTTGGCAGCAATATTTCCTTGGTCCCAGCCGACGAGAGTTCAATGCATGTGACGCATGAACCGCGCCCTCAGTGCAAGCCTTTCAGTTCCAGCATGGATGGGACTTCGACAACTCACGCTTGAACGCGGCCCGCGTGACTGCACGAGGAATCTCAGCTGGGTGACGACGGTTGGCCCTCCATCCCTTCCATCGACTTCTTTATCCCCCCCAAACCAGACCCCATTTTATCACCCTTCCCTAGGCCCTCTCACTAGCTTTCTCGAGCAGAACCAGTAGATGACAGTCGACAATGACGACAAACCCCCTCAGTCTCATCCTCGTGATGGCCTTAACATACTGGGGATCTTTCCTCTCAAGCCTCCCACGGTCGTACCACTGTCTACTGGAGGTATGGGGCAAGTCTCCCGTGCTTCGCAGTCCCCCCCTCCATTGAGGTCTCCTCGTGCAGTCTCGTCGCCGCGCACAGAAACGACGCCAGCGAGGGGGTCGCCTTCCGTTGTCTCGCTGCCCCATGCGGATACGCCACCCTTCAGCTACCCTTTTGAGCCTAGCTCCCCCGAGACGTCTTGGTACGCTCCCGCCGCACAGCCGTGCGCATCCGCCGGTGAAGGTTCCTCGGGCCATGCTACCAAGTCTCCAGCACCTGCCAAGCGTAAGCGCGGTGGATACATGCAACAGCATCTCCCCTTTGCGCCACCGCCTAAGGAACCTCTGACCCCCGTGGCAACACCGCCTCCTTCTCCTCCACCTCGCAGTACCCCGGGCACCGATGCCGATACGGAGTACGACATCGTCAACCGCTGCTACATCGATGACTGGTCCCGTCGCTTCCCGTGGTTGCGCCTGCATCGTATGAAGAATGGCCGCCCATCACTGAAGTGCATGATATGTCTGCAGTACGGCGACGTTTTCAGCAATACGAAATACGGGAGGAAAAGCGAGGGGCGGACGCGACTTGCAGGTCAGCAGCATCCGCACTCATCTCAAAACCCGAGCGCACAAGGATGCTCTCACGGCGAAAGAAGACAAGGAGCGGGAGCGCGATCGCCAGCGCACCCTCGACCGGTGGCAGGGGACGGACGCTTCAACGAAGCACCTGATTCGGTGCCTCCACATCGCCCTCTTCGTCTGCAAGGCGGATGCGCCGATCGCCATGTTCATCGCGTTCTGGTTCTTCCTCACTCGTGAAGGACTGCCAGATCTCCTGCCAGGAGGGGCATACGGAACCTACTATACCGAGTAAGTTGTTTTAACCTGTGCCTTTGAACAGTTCTCGATTGTTTATCTTGCTTTCCACAAGCATAGAAATCGTTCTTCACCTTACATAATGAATACAAACTCGGTTTGATGTTGCTCCCCATGCGATACACTCCCCGCAGCTATGGATTCAAGGAGTGCTTGAAGGCTACCTCACAGTACCTTCGCGACCGCCAGGTGGAGCACATCCGGGCCTCCCCGTTTGTCAGCATCTCGATCGATGAAAGCACGGATAGGGTGCATGGCAAGCACCTTATCTTGTATGCTACTTTCTTCAAGGGGTCGGTCGTCAAGACAGAGTTCGTCACGCTCCTGATCGTCGACCGCACCGACGCGACTTCCCTCACCGCCGTTCTCGTGCAGTACCTCCAATCTATCGGGCTGGATCTGCAGAGGATCGTCGGTGTTGCCACCAACGGAGCCTCTGTCATGACAAGCGAGAGGACGGGCGTGGTGGCCCGTCTTCGCGCACGGATTGAACATCTCTTTTCCGCTCACTGCATTGCTCACAGGTCGGTTTGCTGACATGGTTCAAACACTCAAATCCCCTTGCTGCCCATGCATCCTATGTTTACATTCCATCTCCTACTTTCCTCCCGCCTAATCACAGGGAGTTGTTGGCGGCGAAGGACGCGGCGAACCTAAACCCAGCGCTGCAGATCGTCGACACCGTTATCCATGGCTTCGCCGAGTTCGTCGGGCGCTCGAACGTACAGCACTCGCGTTTCATGAACCTGCAGATGGTTTTCTGCTTCACCAACCTTGAAGCCCGGGGGATATACGCCATCCGCTGGCTTGCAAGAGGTGAAGCAGTGCGCCGCTTCGCGGATGTGCCCCCTGCGGCGATCGTCCTGCTTCGAGAAGCCGGGAGCCACCTCTACGACATCGTGATGTCCTTCAAGTTCCTGTACCTCCTCTACTTCCTCGCCAACGTCCTGGCGAGGCTCAACCACCTCAAACTCCGGTTTCAACAGAGGCAGGTAAGTGGTCTTCAGAGGAACCGTTTTTCATGCTACTGATACTCTACTGCTGATGTGTTTAAACTCAATGTCAAGCCGTGCACATGTTTAGCCGTAACTGGTTAACTCTATGCACATGATCCTATTGACCCCCCTGTTGGCAGGTGGACATCACGGTCATCGCCGCTGTAGTGGCGAACACATGCAGCCGCATTCAGAGTTGCTGCATCAACTGTGGTGATGGTCTTCAGTTCGGCAACGGCGACAGCGAGCTCCTCGGGGCGTTTCTCGACCGCCATGGCTCTGCAGACAGGAGGCAGCACCGGGTGTCTGGTGTGGGCACCAACAACCCCCAGTCCTTCGTCTACACTCTCCATGAGCAACAGCTGGATGGTGATGAGACGGGCAGTGACTTGGCGTCGTGCAACGTCATTGCGCGGAAGTACGCTAGTGATCTAGTCATCGGCATCAACGGCCGCTTCAACAACCTCTACAACCTTGACGGCACAAAGCTCTTCAAGGTGAAGGCCTACCTCAACAACGATGACCTGCGCATGGCCCGCTTCAGGTAGCGGCTGAGGCAGCTGGCCGGACTCTTCAGGAACAAGCTCTCTGGTAAGTTGTGTGCTCAGTACATGTGTGTTCGCCATGTGAGTTTGCCCAATGTGTTTGCACCTAAAGCACCCATGTCTCACAATCCCCTCTGTTGTTTACTCCTCGTTGACCCCCTGCAGGTTTCGACTACCAAAAGGCTGTAAGGGAGTGGTGGATGTTCACCGGCACCATGGCCTCGCAGTACAAGGACGACGACTTCTACACCGCACTGACCCTCACCCTCGACAACAACGACTGGCAGCGAGGCTACCCCAACATCCTGAGGCTGTGGCAGGCAGTGGAAGTGCTGCCTCTCAGCACTGTCGAGTACGAGCGTGGGTTCTTTAAACAGAACCTAATCAAGACCTGGGGCCGGGGTAGCCTTGGGGATGACCGCTTGGGTGACTTGATGCGATGCAGCTTGCTGCAGTACCACGTGGACTGGTACGATGTCATGGCTATCTTCCGTGCAGAGAGGCACCGTCGCCCCATCCGAGACCTTCATGGGGTGAATACGGCCCCTGCTGCACCTGTTGAGCCCCAGGGAGAGACTCAGCCTCTGGAGGAGCCAGTAGTGGTTGAGTAGGATGGCTTGTATAGCTGCAGCTAGGGTACATTACTATTGGATGCTGACATCTAAGTATTTGTAGGTAGGCTAGCTTAATGAAAGTATGTAGTCGTATGTAGGTAGGCCATCTAGAGATAACTATGCATGTTAACTGCAATATTAAAGTGCACACTTAAAGCCCGAGTTCAGAATGTTTTGCTATCAAGTTCAGGAATCCTGAACTTGTTTTCGTCAAATGAAAGGTAACGCAGTACAAACAAGAAAAACGTCGCATCTCACGGGAAACGGGGGACAGCTTGCGATTGCCGCTGAATAAGACAAGCACCCAGTCACTGTTCATCTCAGTATTCTTGAGTTTTGCCTGCGACCATTCTGAACGCATTTTTGTGGGGGTCTCGCTTCATTGTTTGTTCCCCCCCACCCCCCCACCCAGCCGCACTGTTCACGCACTGTTGACCTCGGTTTTTGCCGAAGAATTTCCGTGATGCGATCACGGTTCCGCGATTTCGCCAGAATCTCTATTTGTCAGGGGAACTTTGTCGAAATTACTTTCGCCCTGTTTTTTTGGCACTGTTTTCATGGTCAGTAATCATGGTTTTCTGTTATTCAAGACTCGAGATTTAAGTGTACTACAATCAGTGTGCATGAAACAATACCCTGAACAGGCAGGGTGCGATAAAATTTAGGCAGAAGAATCAGACTCGAAAAAGAAGTCACCCCTTACGTCAGGGTGTTTTGCCAAACAGACCCTGATTCCAAAGTGTGCTCTAAAACCAATTTTAGGCCATGAATCAAGGTCCTAGCAAATGAGATTCTACAGGATTTAGACCAAGCTACAA